TATACTTGGATCCAACCCGAACTATCATTCGGATTTAGATTTGGATCCAAACCCGAAATTCGGATCCATACCTAGATCCGGATAGGATCTAAACTTTGAGTTTCTGATTCGAACGGGGTAAATTCTCAGCCGTAACTAAAACTAGGCCAAGATGCCAATATACATGAGCAAAAAGAGATTATGTGAAAGCAATGGTTTAAAAAACGGATCGGTGCCCCGGATAGGGCACCTCAAAAACCCATCCGGATCGGTGAATCGACGATCAAGATTGGGAATCGGCCGAATCGATCCGATTAAGCCTTAAAAAAATCCAAAAAAAATATTAAAATTCATTATAAATGTTTTTTTTTAAGAATCCAATAAAAAATATGAATATTACATTATTAACTTTTATTTTTTTTATCAATTTACGAATATTGAGATGTTCTTTCCCTGTATGAACTTACGTTAACCATTAAATTTACATCACATAATACAAAAAACATAGATTTATCATGGATAAAGTATATAATCATACGTAGACTATAATAAATGGATTAAATCGATAAAAAAATGACCACTAAAATCGCGAATTGACGGAAAACCCTAATCCGTTAAAAAAAAGCTAAATTATTACAACCAACTAACTATAATACAAAATTATTACTAACTAGCTAACGACAATATTATACATTGCAATGAAAATTGTTGGTCTACATTTTATGATATAAAGAATAACAAATTCAAAATATCCTATAATATCATTTAATTTAAAATGCATTATTGACAACTGTAAGAAAATAGTACATTACAATATTTATAATGCAAATAAATAAATAAATAATAAAATATTTGGTTATCAATATAGAAATTATTAGAATGCGCATCAATTTTGGAAATAACACTTCAATTTTTCAAAAATATAATTTTTTAGATTTCTAGAATAAATTTAGTGGAAGAGATTATTAGAGATGGAGAGATATTTCAACCTTGTATGAATCCTATCTTAAAATTAATATTCTTAAATTTATGTTAAAGATTGGTATATTATAAAAATAAAATTTATA